TTTTTTAACTGCTCTAACAACAACAACAAAAAATTCACTACCTCCCATAGTGAAATAAAATGTTATCTTTTCATTTATGCTATTTCTTGTCAGCATCAGATCCATTACAAAATGATAATTCACAATGCTTCATATTATGAATTAGAATGTTGATGTATGTTAATTAGGATAAAGCAATTTAGGTAATGCTTTAAATTAACATTGTAATTTAGGAAGCTTGTTTGAAGATTATGAGAGAGAAAACTAGATGAAGGATTCTAGAATAAGTATGGTTTATGTAAATAGAGTTGGTGCAATGGTATGAAAATTTTATTCAGAAAACAAATATTCTTGATATATCTCTGTAATTAATATAAAAACTTGAATTGTTAGATAAGGACCTTGTACTTTTGGAGTCCAGTAAAATAAATTCATATTACACCCTAATATGATTGATATTTGTCAGATTAATTCTCCATTTGACAGAACACATGGGATATTAAAATTATGTCTAGATTGCTATACTTATATAAAAGGAAGAATTAATTTTCTTAGCTTAACTGCTAAAAGATTCATTTGCACTTAAAGGGCATTTAAAACACAAGATTTATTATTAAATTTTACATCTAGAAAGATATTATGAGAAGCACTGAAGATTAAATATGTTTTAATAGTCATGCTCATGATTAACCATTTAACAAAAGGACCAATATTGAAAATCACTTTTAAGATAAAATTTATAGTAATGGTTCCTTATATTAAGGAGCTTTGATTACACTTTGGGTGTATAAATGGGAACAATGTATTTTAAAAAACTATTGGGCCATAAATTGTAAAGTGAAACATTTTCATTCCTAACTATCTAGTAATTTCATTCCTAGATATAGTGCAAAAAATAATTAATGAAATCATTGATCATAATAGCAAAAAGCTGGTTTAACCATCCACAGAAAGAAAATGAACATGTAAATGATAGAACAGTGATATGGTGGGATATTATATGGCAGTGAAAAGGATTGAATCATATGTAACAACATGGAAAGTTCTACAAATATTTTACTAATGTAATATTGAGTGAAAAAACAAGTACCAGAAAACTATATACAGTAAAACATCCTTTTTATAAAGCTCAAAACCAAGCAAAACTAAAAAATTCCGGCTAAGGGCACGTATCTCAGTTGCAGTTAGTCCCAGGCCCAGGTTGGGGTCATGCGGGAGGCAACCGATTGATGTGTCTTTCTCACATTGATGTCTCTGCCTCTGTCTCTGTCTCTGTCTCTGTCTCTGTCTCTGTCTCTGTCTCTGTCCCCCCTTCTCCCTCCCTTCCACTCTATCTAAGCATAAATGGAGAAAATATCCTCGGGTGAGGATTAAAAAAAATAAAAAAGGTTATATACATATAAGGTGTATATCTATAGACTATTAGTAAAAGAATCATACTTAATACTCAGTACATATTTATAAGTAGATGGCAGGAACAATTTAAGAATACAAATCACACTGATAATTGGGAAATTTAAAAATGTGCACAACATTTCTATATGTATAAAAGTCTCATTTAAAATTTATTTCAGAGGATTTTTATTTACATTCATCATTGAGAAACTCAACTGATAATTCACTTTACATTTGATTTTTACAACTTTGTAATAAGTGGCAAAACCAAAAAAGAAATGAGGACATCATGGAAAAACATCATACTCGAAAATAGATTTGTTATCAAACTCTGTTTTAAAGATCTCTGAAACTGAAAAGATACAATTCTGAAAGTTCCTTCTGAGAATTTATTATTTTTAAAAGCTATATTTTATGTTCTTTATATACTCGTAAGGTTGACATGAGTAAATTACGTAGTTGAAAATGGTAATCAGAAAGAAAATGGTAATCACCTGGTAACTATAACTATTACTGTATCTCATGAAAACTTAGGATTACAATTAGCTCTCTGTTTATTTCTATGTCACTTATAAAGGTAACGTATTTGCATATTGTACATTCTACAGTACTCTTTTATTCCCTGTGAAATTCAGATAATAGCAACAGATCTTTTAGGCTTTCATGTAGAGAAAAGGACAGTTAACTTGCATTTGTCTTCTGCTCCAAAATATTCTCAGTGGGTGATATAAATACTCATAGTGCTTGTTCCAAAGGCTAGTCTTTGTGGAATAAGAACATGTGTATTCTTTTTGAGACTTCTGCAGTAGAGATTTATTAAAATGTTATTAGAAAAGTATAAAAATTAGACAAATCATCTCAGTATCAGCAGACAATTAGTGGATGTTAGAGTACTGAACTGGTGGTCAGAACTGAGCTTGAGTTCTCAACTTGTTTGCTAAATTGTGATACTCATTTAACATCTTTGTGTCTTACTGTCCTCATATTTATAAACAGAGACATTAGCTCCTCCATCTTCCTCACAGGCTTGTTATGAGAATGGAAATAGGTTGATATGTATGAAAAACCTTATAATCTCAAGGAATATGCAAATGTTAGTTTGTCACTAGAGTAAGGTCTTTTTTAAAATTTCTCAAATATATAAAAATCACAATAAACTGTATCAAAAAGTTTATTTAGGTCTTTAAAAATTACTATGTAATAAACTACATAAATTTCTTAATAAATAAGAAAATACCTACAGGGTCTGCTTGAAAAATCATTCTATTGATTTTCACACAAATGAACTGCACAAATGAACTGCTTAGAGGTAAATATCAAGAATATCTCAACAGATTCCTTAGGATATCTAGATTTATTAATCAAGTCAAGCCCTCTTTTTCCTATTTAATCTCCAGAGAGACCAGTGTTACCTTTTCTCTTCTTTTTTTTTTTATCCTCACCCGAGGACATTTTTCCTTTTTTTTTTTTTTTTTGTTCAGATAGAGTGGGAGGGAGAGAGAGGGGGGGGGGGAGAGAGAGAGAGAGAGAGAGAGAGAGAGAGAGAGAGAGAGAGAGACGTGAAAGGGACACATCAAGTGGTCGCCATCCGCACAACCAACCAGGGCCGGGACAAACCGCAACCGAGGTACGCGCCCTTAGCGGGAACAGAACCCGGGTCTCTCCAGACCGCAGGTCAAAGCTCGAACCGCTGAGCCAAACTGGCCAGAGCACGTTTTCTCTTTTTTATTTAGATATTCTGGAAAGAGAAATCATGCCTCTCATGAATATCTGCTGCTATCATCAATACAGTAATGCTGTGGACAGGCTGGATGGGCCTTGGAATTATACTTCTATTCCAGGGCCTAGTTTGACTTGTAGTTCTAGAATCTTGATCAGGTTATCTACAAGTTGTTTTTCCCTTGGAGAAACAGATTCATGTACTCAGAGGCTGTACAAAAGCCATTTGCTAATTTATAGTAAGAAATATTGTAAACTCACCTTCATAATAACACTAACACATTACCTTTGCTTTATAGGTCCTAAAGGCTTTGGAACTCAGTATCTCATTTTTGAACTTATGAGTTTTGGACAGAACGACCTAATTTATTTCTAAACTGTTTCTCTATTTATCAGGTGCAAAATACCAAAAAGTGCAAAGCAGAACAGGAGATCATATCTTAGTTGTCAAAAATAACAGTGTTAACAGTTCTTCATATTTCCGTCCTTTATCCCCTATGCATGTTAATGTAATTGAGATCATACTGTATATGCCATTTACATGTCAACGTTTTCATTTTTTTTCTGGTTATGATGGCAATCTATGCCTTTTGTAAAAACTTTTAAAAAGTTGTAGAAAACAGACAAAAGTCCAAAGCAGAAAATGAAAACCACATATAATTTACTACTGAGTTAACCACCATGAACATTTTGATGTATTTCCTGCCAGTATTTTACTCCTTTTTATATTTTTTAAAAAATGTAGGAGGGATGACATCAAGGTAGGAGTGCTTGGGCAGCCTCTCCTGTCCAGTCCCGCGGACAGAAAGCTGCAGATCAGCACTCTTTTTCCTGGACAGAGGTAGTGAGACGGGATATTTTCCTTGTTTCCGTATTCTAAGCTGATTTGTGTATTGTTCTCCTCTTTCCCCAACATCTTCAGGGCCACTGACACCTGCCCATATTTCTACAAGTTATCCTGGTGGCTTCTGGAAGCCCATACTCTTCTCTGCGGCCGTTCACTTCTGCAGAAAGACTCCCGCCCCCACTTCACCTTCTGCAAAGCGGGAGGATGTGGTGGGAAGCCGCTAGTTCGGAGCTTCAAAGGGACTCTCAAGTCCTAACAGCAGTCAGAGCCTTTGCCCCGCGGCAGGGTTAGGGGCTCCCCGGGGCTCCCCGGGGCTCCACTAGGTGTCTCTCTGTGAAGGGTCGTGGTTAAGTAAGGCCTTCGTGGCTAAGTCTCCTGCTCCAGGGACGCCAGCCGCTCGCCGGCGATCTTCGCCCCTCCCGAGGTTATCAGAGCGCATTTCCTCGTGGCTCCAGTCTTCACATCCTGCAGTTCTCGGGGGAGGGTGGTCTTTCTCGTCACCAGAAGGCCGGGGGATCGCCCTTCGCCTCTCGGAAGATCGGGGCAGGCCTCTGTCACAAAACACCAAAGGTCCGATCCCCTCCGCCTCGCTTTGCGCGCCCGGAGAAGTGCGTCCCTTCTCGCTTGCCTTATGCCTGGCGAGGCAGGGACCGCACTATTGTGCCGCCTGCCGGAGGGGGGCACGCTCACGTGCGGCTCTCTGCTTTCCAGCCAGCTGCAGTGGCTCCCGGGAAATCAACGTTCAGGCAACCAGGGTCGGCATTACATTGTCCTGGGAGCCCTCACTGAAGGGAGGAACGGCCACCCACCTGAGTTAGGCAGCGGGCGCGCCCCTTTCCTCCCCCTCGGTTCGCCTGGACCGCACGGCTACTAGCGCGCCAGCCGCCGCCGAGTTTTCTCAGCCTTTGACAGCTCGGCCCCGGCACCTCGCGGCCTGGAGTCCCTGCTCCAGGGGCGGGGTGGGGCGGGGCGAGCGCGTGCGGGGCGGGGTGCAGCGAGCGCGAGCCAGGAGTCCTGGAGGGAGCGCGCGAGCTGAGCCGAGACAAGCCGACCAGGGAGGTGCTGGCGAGAGGCAGGCAGAGCCGGGCTGGCTGCCTGCAGCTCAGCGCCGATCGTGCTGCGTCGCTGGGCTCCGCGTACCCCCACCTCTGCTCCGGCTCCCGCAAAACTTTTATTCTCTTGGGCCCCCCGGGGTGTCTGAAGGAATCGGAGCACTCGGTCGGCTCAGCGTTCCTCTGCAGCGGCGGCGACCGAGGAGACCTGCATCCCTCGCCCGCCGGGCTCTAGCGCCCTACGCCTCCTCACCTGCTGATCGCCCCCCGGAGCGGCGAGGGTGCACCCGCGGAGGGGCCGCGCGGGCGCCAGCGCCCCTGAACTCTCCCACCCACTGTGGCCGACCCACCGGGCGCAACTTTAACTTGATTCCTCTCGCTCAGTCCCAGTACCAGCGGCTGCTGCTGCCACCGTTTCGGCCGCTGCCGCCTCACAAAGGGGCGCAAGGAAAGGAGGCGGCACCGGCGGCGGACACCGGCGTCTGTGCGCAGGGCGCGGGCCTCGGGGTCGCAGAGGCCCGGAGACAAAAGGGAAATTGCCGCTGTTCGCCGTGCCGGATCGGAGTAGTGTACTAGACTGCCTCCCGCCCCGCTCCGCGGTCCTCCTTCCCCCACCCTAGTCTGCTGCTCCGCCTCCCTCCCGGCGGACCGTCCCCGCAGTGCTCCGGGACTCGGCAAGCCTTCGGGGCGCGCGTCGCTGCTGGTGGTTCGGACTCTAGCGATAATAAATGATAGAGGATACAATGACTTTGCTGTCTCTGCTGGGTCGCATCATGCGCTACTTCTTGCTGAGACCCGAGACGCTCTTCCTGCTGTGCATTAGCTTGGCGCTGTGGAGTTACTTCTTCCACACGGACGAGGTGAAGACCATCGTCAAATCTAGCCGGGACGCCGTGAAGATGGTGAAGGGCAAGGTCGCAGAGATCATGCAGAACGATCGGCTCGGGGGGCTCGACGTCCTGGAGGCCGAGTTTTCCAAGACCTGGGAGTTCAAGAGCCATAATGTGGCAGTGTATTCCATCCAGGGCCGGAGAGACCACATGGAGGACCGATTCGAAGTTCTTACGGACCTAGCCAACAAGACGCATCCGTCCATCTTCGGGATCTTCGATGGGCACGGGGGCGAGGTAGGAGTTCTCTGGGGCTGTGTGTGTGTGTGTGTGTGTGGGTGCGCGCGCGCGCAAACCACAGGATGTTGTGTGCACGAGGAGGGAGGTAGGACTTGGGTGCGAGGGGCGTGGTGATGACCTGGTGCAGAGCTGGACAAAGCCACTAGTTCCAAGTTGACCGACAAAAAAAAAAAAAAAAAAAAATTGCTGGATCCAGACTCCTAGGGCCTGAGGGTCCATTTTGGGGAGGAAGGGTCAGACTTAGCTTATTTCCTGCCTCATCATTTATGATGTTTCTCAAGGACAGAACCTAGCAAATGACTCTGCTAGTTTTGCGGGGAGAGTTAATGGTTTCCACAGTGAACTTTGGCCTGGGGTCTTAGCGCCCCTGTTCTTGGGTTTGAGACCAAGATAGGTACAAAGAAGGAATAAAATATCTTTGATTCTCATTAGGGAAAAGAGACACAAAATGCAGAGCCGAGTTCGTGAGGGCTCAGTAAGGACGAATGAAGCTGTGACTTATTCCCATCGCCTTCGCCTTGGGGAGGAACCCTAGGGACGTCCTTGCGCTTCTTGCCAACTCCATTAACTTTGCAAGTGCAATCGGGCCAGTTGACAGCAGCGCCTCGCTGGCCGCCTGTGTTTAGCTGGTTCACGGCGCGAGACCAGAGATGCCTCTGGCCTTTGCAGAGGTGGCGATGCCTGCAGAGGTGGCGATGCCTAGATTTCGCCCCTGCGTCCTGGCCAAAGTGGGCGCAGAAGTCTCCCAGTTTCTAAACTCCTTTATTTGGGGTTCGTGTGATGAGGATAGAAGGCCAGCTGAGGTCCCTCTCCCTCATTTCTGCCGCTCCCGGATTGCGCGCTGGGGCTCAGATTTCCTGGAGGTCCGGGCGAGGATTGGCTCTGGTCTTTGGGCATGAGCCCAGTAGAAGTGAGTGGCAAATGTGACTCCAAAGAGCACCGAGCCAGCCATCCCATTTCTCTCAATTTGGCAGTTTATAACAATTTCATTGTTGCATACTCTTCTTTTTTTTTGGCAGCATACTTTCTTACTTATATCCTCCCTGCCTCCTTTGCTACCCCTTCTTCATTATTTCCCCCTTCCTTCACAATCCTTTGCTCTGGTCCATCTTTCCCCAACTCTCTTCTTGGTCCTTCTGGTCTCTGGGTGGGCTGTAGAGGATGTCATTCTCTTTCAGTCTTTGCTTGTTCTTTGGAACTTGTTTTGGGTGAATATTGAGAAAGCTTTCAATTAATTATCTGCATTCTATCTTTGATACAAAGTTTCTTCACCTACCACTCTGCTAATCTGTCCAAGATACGGTATCTACCTGCCTTGTAGAACAACTTTGCCAGGAATGACAAACTTAGTTGCAAAATTTATTTGGTAGAACTGAAATCAGTTTTTGCTCTTTTCTGTTCACCCTAGCCCTTTCTACGTTCTGCCTTTCAAAATGAAGTTTTCTCACTGGTTGTAAATTTGTAGCCACCTGTGTAGTGGGAGTTCCTTTCCCCTTGGTCACAGGGTAGGGAAAAGATGTGCAGTTAATTGAGGGAAGAGATGCTGTGTACTTGGGTAAAAGCGTATCTGAATGACACGGTTGCCAATATAATAACTTGTTTGTTTTCTTGCCTTGAGTCAGAATGTTTATACTTTAATTTTATGTTCTAGACTGTTACATAGGTCATTTCATAAAGCTTATATTTATTAAACATTTATATATTATAGTTGCTGGCAGATTATAATCTGCTCCTGGTCTTAGAAAGCATAGCTTTATTTTTAATTTAGAGGTCTGTATGCAATGTTAATGTTGTGCTTGTCTGGTATGCTCTATTGGCATGTTTTATTCTGTATGTGTAAGTGAATGGTATTTTAAATTTTCTTTTAAGTTGATATTTTAAAACCTGAAAATTTCAGACCCAAATAGATTGAAACATTTCCAGTACTGTCTTCTGGTAAATGCATCACTCAGAAAAGGGACTAGATAAATGCTTTTATTTAACCAGAAGTTTTTTTTTACATGTACAGGGCTTTTCATTACATTTTTAAATAATAGGGAAGATGATTATTGTTAGCAAAACTATGAAATGCTTTTTATTGTACCTTACATTAAAGAGCCTGCTCTTTGTAAAATAATATTATCAGTACTCTTAAAATCTGTTTTATTTATAACCTACTTCATATAGCCAGTTCACATTTTGGCTTTGTTTTTTGGGCAGAATAAGAGTTATAAAGTTATTTAGTTCTACTGGGAATGCTATAATAACAAATAATATTAGATAATTTCTCTCTTGCTTTTTCTTTCATTCAAAGAAAATCCCACCATCTAATTTTGTCTTTTGTGTTGTTTAGCTCCTTTAACATTCACCAGAGGAGGGTGCTACTGTTTGATTTTGGTAGAGATGATAGTTATCTTCTTTCAGAAAGGAGAAAGCTTTTTCTGAACTCTCTATTATTTGTATATATGCTGTTTGTAGAGTGCTACAGAACATAACCAAGGAGTTTAATTTTATTTCTAATAATCCAATAAGGTAGGGTATTAAAAAAAATACAACAGAAACAAAAACACAGCCCGTCTATAATGGTAGTGCTTTTTAGATCCAGAAGGGACCTAAGCCACCTTGTGTGTCCATTTCATTCCATTTTTAGATGAGATGTTTGTTAATGGCTGGAGAAATTGTGACCTTTCTAAGACTACATGGCTAGTTCAAGGCTTCAGTTTGGTGATTTTTATATTAAATCACTGGACAAATTAGTTTTCATATTTACCCAGAAAGGCAGATAACACCATAGGGATACAAAGGTGAATGAGACATGACTCTCATACTCAAAAAGTTTCTGTGCAGTGCCAGAGATAGACATATATGCCAAAAATCAGAGTCATGATATGCATAGGGTGATATGGAAACACTGAAGAGGGGCATTCAAATCAGATTGGGAGGTGGGAGGCCTGGAAAAGACACTTTGAAGGCATCATTTACTGTAAGGTTAAAAGCATAGACTTTGGCTTGACATCTAGCTTTGAATCTCTGCTCTGACTTACACTAGCTGTGACCTTGGGCAAATTGTACTTTATCTGGGAATTTTTAATCATAAAAAGAATAATAGTGCATGTAAGCTGTACCCTCATTAATTGCATTATACTCTATCTAGAGGAACACCAATGGAGAGAAGGATATGGAAGAGGAAAGCTTAGAGACCAAGCAGTGTGTAGTGTTAGGGCAACAACATCTAAGGAGAGAGACTATACATGTGAAAGCCACAACGTTGATCATTAGAAAGGTGTATATTGGATATGGATCATTCATTAGGTATCCCCCAAACTGTATCTCTTTATTATAATTTCTGGTGAACTGACTATTAAATCAGGATTCCAGGTATCCGAGTATTGGGAAAGAAGCACCCTGGCTTCAGGTGCAAATTTTTTGATTAGTGACAAAGAATAATCTCCATGATTAATTAATAAATTGGTATTCTGATTTGTGCTTCAGGTTCTTATGAGTTGGGTTAGCATGAGTTAGTTCTCTTGAGTATTCAATTGTGTATTTAAATTTTTTTTTCTTTATTGGTTTTAGAGAGAGAGGAAGGGAAAGGGAGAGAGAGATAGAAACATCAATGAGAGAGAACATTAATTGGCTGCCTCCTGCTTGCCCCCCACTGGGGATTGGGCCCACAACCTGGGCATGTAGCTCAACTGGGAATTGAACTGGCAACCTTCTGGTGCATGGGTCGATGCCACACCAGCTGGGCTCAATTATGTATTTTTTTCTTTTCCTTACATGAGGATAATTTTGCATTTATCCTCAGATAGAGCAGGAGGGAGAGAGGAAGGAAAAGAGAGAGAGAAACATTGATGCGAGAGACACATCAAGTGGTTGCCACCCAATCGGGGCCAGGGACAAACTGCAACTGAGGTACGCACCCTTAACGGGAACCTAACCTAGGACTCTTGGATCTGTGGGCTGAAGCTCTAACCACTGAGCCAAACCGACCAGGGCTCAACTGTGTATTGTTTTTTTTTTAATCCTCACCCAAGGACATTTTTCCATTTTTTGTTCAGATAGAGTGGGAGAGAAAGAGAGGAAGAGAGAGAGAGAGAGAAACATTGACGTGAAAGGGACACATCAAATGGCTGCCACCTGCACGACCAACCAGGGCCGGGGACAAACTGCAACCGAGGCACGTGCCCCTAGCGGGAACCGAACCCAGGTCTCTCTGGACTGCAGGCCGACACTCTAACCACTGAGCAAAACTGGCCAGGACTCAACTGTGTATTTTTGACAAAGATATCTTTAGTCTTGTTATGCCAAGGACCAGACTTCGGATGGCTGTGACTTCTAAATGGATGAGCTCTTAAAGAGCCTTGTCTTGATGGTCCTATAGGCCAGCTTCCTTAGTTGATGCTCTTGGGCCCTTGAGACATTCTAAACACCAATACTATGGGTAGATGGTTCTCTCTCTCTCTCTTTCTCTCTCTCTCTTTCTCTCTTTCTCTCTCTCTCTCTCTCTCTCTCTCTCTCTCTGCCTAAAGCTATGACAATGATTGTTTTGTCGTATAACAAAAGATTAAAACAACAAAGAGGTAAACAAAAAAAGCTCAGAATGTATCAAGTGATGTGGAAAGTTTATTTAACAAATTAAAATATGATGTTTATCCCTGAAAATTTTGTGTGTGCTTACCTGTAATTGTTATCCACAGGCAAAGGGGGGTTCCTGTTTTGTTTTCATTTTTTATATTATCTAAAGAAATATCACCTATTCTTTGAAGCAACTTTGTCAATGTTCATGGCTGAAACCTATCTAGAAGAACAGATTGTTATGTATTCTGTATGCTTATAGGCATTACTATATTAAAAGTCATATATTATTGTATTGTACAATTGACAAGCAGCTTGGCCAGTGGTTAAGCTTATAATTCCACACTTCACATCAGAAAGAAGCCGTGCTTCAGATGCTTGTCAGGGGCTACAGTCTTGAGGCTCGGTACTTCTCAGAAGCTCAGAAGTGAAACTGCTTA